ATAATATCAATTATTGAGTAAAATTCATATATATACTTGAATATATACTTTAAAAACATAAAACAACACTTCGATTAAACTTAGATATTGTTAAACTATAAAAAAAGCGTAAACAATATACATCGAATGAGTAATATATTCAACTAGTATTCAACGTAAAGAAAAATAATCAATTATTGTATATGCAAATCATCATATGATCAAAAATTGAAATTGTTTCGATGCAAAGTCGAAAATTTTTAACAAATTTTTAAGAGAAATTAATTGTTATTTATTACCTAGAGGATATTATATGAGATATTTCATAACTTTTAAAAAGACAAGTATATGTACAATCAGTATCAACATAATTACTATGATTATATAATAATTTAATTAAAAGATTCTATCGATTCAAGACACAATCCTTATCAAACTTGTATCGTCTGAAATCATCATCTTTTCTATTTTCTCTCTTTCATTTGTTAGTGACAGGTATATCGGGGTGATCCAAGAATAGCCTAACAAAAAAAATAGGATACCGTTATTGTATTTCGACTAAATGAATTTATTGTTTTCTTAATGATAGAGAAGAGTTCCAAGTTTTTATTCATGAGCAAAAAGTTTAATAGAACCTCTTGAAACTTTTATTACCTAATTAAAAGAAAAAATAATTTCGAATTTCTAGCAAACATAAACTATAAACTTTAACCTTCTAACAATATTATTTCAATTCTCATGCTCTTGAATTTTCTCAATTTTTAGAATAATTTATTTGCGACCTTTGCTATATCACAAGTCTATATGTATTCTTCGAAGCTTTGCAAGGTCCTCTTGGATGTTGTTACACAGGAACATTCCACAACATATTTATATATTCAATTCTGTACACACTTTTTTCATTGATCATATCAGTACAAAGAATTTTCGATTTTTATCGATAACTGATTGGTGCTGAATTCAAAATACTGAAAAAACATCAAATTGTTTTAGAGTTCTGGAGCAAATTGACTCTTTCACTACTTTGATAATAGAGCCGTCATTTGTTGATGATAATAGGAAAATCTTTTCAGTCGATAAGGCTCTACAAAATTGGAATTGATAAAAGAAAAAATTGTCAGATCTCTGATTCTCTTGTGATAACTACTGATAGAAGTACCAGAAAAAAGAGCCAACTTTTGAATTGAAATAAATAGTGCTAGATTTCAAGTATATTAATAATCTGATGACTTATGAATAAAAAAATTATAACTTTCTTCTATTATTAGAAAAAAACTACTTTATTTTATCGGAAAATACAGTCGAGATATTTCATTACTTTTTTTTTCGTTAGATCAATTCTGGAACATCGAGCATATAAAAACAAGTTAGTTCGAAATTGTTTCTAATGACTGGTATACTACTCTTGGACTTTGTGTTAGAATAGCTGATATGAAAAATTAGCTTAATTACCATATAAGGACGTGTTACTTATGTAAAAACGAATCATTCTAATTTAATTTTCAGTCAAAAATACTACATGATTGACAAGATTGATTAAAAAAAAATACACTATAATTTCAGACACAAAACTAAAAAATATCGCGTAGTTTTATCATTATTTTAATTAGAATAATTGCCACTTAAATACTTATAAACAACCTTGTATTCAATTCTTTGAGGTAATGCAATGTTTATGATATTTATCGATAAGAACATTGATATAAAGCGAAAATTTGTTAATAAGATTATTTAAACACATGTTCTTAAAATCTATGATAATTGTTGCTTCAAGATAAATATGATGAATAACCACAGTGCTATTATTGATAAAATATATCTTTTTATTTGACGATAAGTTAAGATATGAGAGAGTACTGAAACATAGTAACCACATACTGTTATTATAACTAATCGAAGAACATTAAGATCTCATTAGCTAACAATTTTAACTATTTATGATAAAAAGCTTAAATCAAATTCTTTAATAATTAAAATAACCTTGACAAATCTTTGTCTGTTGTTAACATTTCGGATGTCGTAATTTAATTGAAAACGAGAATATCACAAAACAGTATTGTTGAGAAAAAAAAAATTACGCTTTAATGTTACGGCCTTGGAGATATGTTTGATGAATCAGTGAAAAAAAAAATATTCAAAGACTTAAAGATAACCGTAAATGAATAGTTTATTAGAATAGTTTCAAGATCAATGGTTCGTAAAAGTTTCTCTTTCTCTATGGAATGCACTCCGTGTGATTTCAAGAAATAATAACAATACTAAGGATATACACTTCCTTCTATCTATTTGTAAGTATATTTATATCTTTCTGTTTTATTTATCATTGCACTATCGTTTCAATCGTTGAGTACAAGTTAATCATCTAAATATTTGATTGTCTAACAAATTCCTTTAAAGAGATGAGATGCATTTTCATCAGTTACGTATTTTAATTTATGGCACAGGTTTATATGCAATAATAAAGTCATCAAAAAACAATTGCACTTAACTCTCGTATGGATCATATCATGATGAACGATGTCATAATAGTCATATACATGTTAAGATGTGTTTAGATTGTTTATCATTTCTGATTGCGAAATAAAAAAAATGACCTTTTTTACAAATCTCTTCTTTATATATCTATTAACCTTCAGATGATTTGTATCACAATGTTAGCATTACATCATACCAATAAAAAGTGTATTTTGCCTATCGAAATTCTCTAAAGAGCTTTTTGATTTTTTCCGATTGTAATATATTTGCATTTTGCCATGTACTAATCTATTTTAATATATCTTTTTCGACATTTTTTTTCATTTTGATTTGTTTTTTTTTTTTTTTATACTTTCATTTTCGATTAAATTACACTAATCTAAGATTTCATTAAATAACAATTCATTGTTGATCATTTTCTAAGATTATTTTCAATATATGAAAGTACTAAGTATACACGCAACATTAAGATCAAGAATAGTTACATATTAAATTAATATGATCAGTATCTTCAAACATGAAAGCAATTACATATATGTCAATCTAGATTAGTTAGATTTAGAAATAAAATATGATTGCATGCATGACAATTCAAAAGTTAATTTAAAATTGAATGTAATTTTCGAAAGATATATAATAATGCCATTACTTGATAACTATGTCGAGGTCATCATATTATCTAATGACTTTAGAGAATAGAAATTACTATGAAAATAATCATAGATTTCTTATCATTTCCTTGTCTTTCTTATAAATCAAGATATCTATGAATATGAACAATGCTCATCTTTCATATAATGAATTTTTCTAAAACTTATAGAAAATATTTAAATAATGAGATATTTGTATTCATATCGATAATATCATGATTGAAAATAATTCTTCGATGACAATTAATCAACATATGACACAAATGAATAAATAAAGGTCAAGTAATAAAAATCAATCAACACAACACAATCATTATGATAAATAGTGATAGTATAATTGTCAAATAGGCGCCTTGTCTTAGACACTATGAACAATATGTTCGTAAGAATAAGAACAAATGCATATAGTAATAGTAGTTGCATGGCTTTCTTTTCTTTTCTTTTTTTTTTTTTTTTTTTGAGTGCATTTTTCATTATCTCCGGTGATGCGACATAATGATACATACAATAAGAGTGACACTATAGAACTTCCATAATCAACCTAGAAATGATTGGGTTAAAATATATATGCCAGCTGGCGGCAATCATGCTCTTATGATTACCGTATGAGCTAGTATATATATCTCACTTGTAATCATATATCTTCCAGCGAGAACACTGGAAAAGATCAATAAAGACATGAATATAACATACAAACAAAGTCAATATACAGGTATTCATTAACCTTGTCTATTGAAAAGAACTGTGAAACATCAGAGAATGTCGTGCAACCACATACTATATCATACACAATATGAATAATGTATAGACAGTCTAATGTCAAATATTGAGAAAAGTTCAGGGTGAATAGAAAAAGTACGTGTAATAATAATGATATGTCTATTGAGAAAAGACGTTCTTATAAAAAGAAAAAAGAAAACATATTGAGATAATTATAAAGAAGCAAATTTAGTGGTACTCAAATCATTGTAAAGTATTCAATATATCAGCAACTGCTGCATTCTATTGAAAAGATATCCTTGAAGTAATAGTATGCAATGTCTTTTTTTTTTTCATTCATTCAATAAATATAATAGAAAAGACTGAATTTGTTTGCTCCAATAACACAGTAGAGAAACATATTTCATCACAAAAGGTTAAAAAAAGGAGAAGTGATTAGAGTATTATTTATAGAATATTTTGTTATTTCAAAGTATGTTATCAATAAGAGCTGAATTTTATTACAACATATTGATTTTTTAATCTTAGATAGATTGTGTTCATAGATTTAATGTAATCTTTACTTATTCTTGCATACAGCTTTTATAGATGGCAATCGACACTGATTAATTAAAAAGATATATTGTTGTACATATAGGAATCAATACACATCACTTGACACGTAGAGTCAAGGTCGAGTTCAATTCGTATCAATATAGAAATCAATTTTATCTAGCAAACTCATCGTTGATCAATAGACATTATAATGAAGATATATATTAGTTATTAGTGAACGAAAAAGAACAAATATAAATATTGAAATATTTTTAGAAAGAGACAACTAAGTCTATAAGTAAATGTTTTTAATCATGTTCTGACTACTCTTGAACGAACTTCAACAATACGATTAATTAGTTAGTCCTAATACGGAAATAGAAATACTTGACGGAAGTAGATTTTGATTGAACGATCGATAAATTAGAACGGAAGTTTTTATAGATATTAATTATTCAATAGCTAATAGAACTTTCATCTGATTTAAGTCACAAACAACAAACATTTCATGATTTAAATATTAGGTCTGAAATAGTTTATTCATAATAAAAACTAAAATTCATAAAGCAAAAAAAAAAATGATATATATTTTTCTACGGCAAAAAAATACATCACAATATAGTCTATATATGTATAGTTATATCAGAGCCAAATAATCAAAGTACTTGTTGTACATTTATATGATAGTTTTCTAATGATATTCGATCGAATCCAATTTGCTATAGCATCCGGTTCATGAAAATCACATTTGACTGTTAATGAACGTAATTTTTCAATTTGTTTTTTCTTATTACCAATAAATAATAATGTTAATAATCGATAACAATCTTCAATTGATGTTACATTAATCGATATAATATTTAATTGATTAAATAATTCATATATATAATCATAGTGATGAAAATTAACAAATAATTCATAAACACTTAATGATCGTATATTACTTTTTGATATATATGATGATAATTGAATTAATTTTGACCAACTTTGATATGTTGATATTGTTAATGAATGAAGTTTAGAAAAATTTTCAATAAGATTTAAAAGAAATTTTTTTGAGCAATTATCTAATTGTATTGTTAAATAACGAATATTATTTCGATTAATTATTGAATATAAATAAATAAAAAATGTTTGCTCATCAAATATTTTATTCGATATCAGTGTTAGTGATATGACATTTTTATATATAATCCTTGATAAATTATTAACGGTACTTACATCAATAGAATCAATTAATATACGAAGATCACGTACACACGAATAAATATTATTATTATTATTATTACTATCAGCAAATACTTTTGAAGGACTATGAAAAGAAACAAAAAAAGAGAAACTCCATTAAAAGAAAAAGAAAAAAAAAAAATATCACTCACATAATGTCAAGACGTCGTTTAGGATAAGGGTCAGTATGTATACGTAACATTGTATTAAATGAATATGAATAAGCTTGAAAAGAAAATTTCCAATGATGATTACGAAAAAATTGATTTTGTTCAAATGAATTTGATATTATTTGAGATTGTATTGGTATTTCAATACAACAATGAAAATCTTTTAATGATAAAAATCTTTGAAGTAAATGTTCCCATCTTTTATCATCAATATAATCAAGACATGATTGACTTAATGCATCAGTTTTAAAAAAAAACTTTAAAATTTCTAAATGTTTAAATGTTTTTTTAAATAGATCTTCAATTTGATTGAATGGAATATTATTTATTGTTGAAATTTCTAATGAACGAATATTTGAATTTATTGAATGAGAACTTATTATTGATGAATCTTTTGAAAAATTTTGTAAATCAGTATGTAGACGCACACTGAGATATTGCACATTTGGAATATAATTCAATAATCGATCTATATAATAATAAACAACAAAAACTTTATATTAATTTTTCTTTTTTTTCTATGTAAATTCTTCTTTTGTTCTTTTCTTTGTACGAGTCTAAGCCCTTCCGGGTATAAATGCATAGACAGGAGATTATATATGCCTTTTTTTTATTATTAATGACACACAAGAAGTAATAATACTAAAGTATTATCGGAGCTTTTGTGAATATAAACATTGAAGGATGGACATCAATCAAGATATGTTATCGAAAATATCTTTACTAATGTTTAGCTAAGTCGATTAACGAAAAAATAGTATATAAATGGCATTGAATTTTGACATTTATCAAACACTATAGGAATCCATTGAAGGTCTCTAAACATACATCTTGTTTTCTTTTGCTAGTTGTAGTATCATGATCTCAGTTAATTAACACATTATCACTTTTCTTTTCTAATCATATCATTTACTATTGACTTAACATCGAGTCACTATCCTTAGAAAAAATTTTAAAAAAAGGATCATATTTAATATTCTAATCTTAATAACAGATTACGAATAAACACACCATCATTTGCATTACATTAGAATTATAAAATAATAATTCATATTGAAGCAAGAAATTATTTTTTGTCTTTACATAAGTTCAGCCAAGTAAATGGCCTGTTTATTCTATACCCTGACGACCCTTACATATTTGTTGACAGAATATGTAGCCGCCAAGGACAATATTTGTTTCACGTACAAAATAGCTTCAATTTCCATCAATATGTCTGTATTATTGTCACCAAAATATGATATATGTCAATCATTGTTTTTTTTTGTTTTACTATTCATGGCAAAGAAAAAAAAAAAAAGAAAGGCAAACACATTGATCTATGTTTAGTCTCTAAGTAATTGATTTTTTTTCGTCTCTTTTTTCCTTCCGCGTTCTATCGATTCTGCCCGTCTGCTATTTATTATCATCGAAAAATAGAGTTATACAATAAAATATTTTTCTTTTCGAGAGATTATTGTGGTGTCTGTTTTGATCAACTCGACATTTGTACATTCGGTTCTTTTTTTCTTCGTCTTATTCGAGATGCCCTTTTTACTAGGTGATTTTCCTTCTATTATTTCCAAGTTCTCTCTGTTTTTCTCGAGAGGATATAGCTACACCTAAAGGTCGTTAAGAACGGGAACTGGTCTCTGTGTCTACGAGCGCGCTATTTTTTCTTCTGCTTCCGCTCTTTTTTTCATTCGATGGGATGCAGACATAGTTTCGTCAAGTGAGAAGATAAGCTAAACACGCACACAGTCTCTTCTACCATTCATTCATTGATCGATAACAATCAGCATGCAGTTTTTCTACTGTCTAATCTTTTTATCATGCATATTTGCGAAAAATTCTTTTGCTATTAACAATAACAACTATATTCTTTGTACATCACATTGTACACAGATCACTCTTTCATTTTCTCAACCGTTAGCATTTCCTACAGAATGTCAAAATGATTCTAATATAACAAATATTTATGATCATGCATTAGCCTGTACTATTGAATATCGTATTAATTATTATGATGAAAAAATTTATGTTAAATTTCAAATTACTAGTAATGATACAAATATGTTAGAAGATCACAAACCAAGTGAATTTCTTACTCAAGAAATATGGTTAGATCTTAGAGAACATCATAGTAAATCAAATCAAATAACTGGAAGATATGGTTGTAATTCAAAAAATGATTGTGCAAGAGATTTTTATTTAAATACAATTAATCACTTAGTTAGTGGTGGTAAAACAATATTAGATAAAATTAAAGGAAAATTATATAAAGATTCGTTATTATTGGGTCCAAAGTCAAAACGACAGTGTTCTTTTGGTGATTTAAAAAGTAATTCAACAAGGATACATTGTCCATATGGTCTTTGTTATGTACGTCAAGAAAATTATACATTGAATCAAGAACGAAATAGCAAAGAACAAAAATGTGATAATGAAATTAAACCCATTTTATTTAGTTTTATTGAATATCATGAACCAAAATCAATAGAAAAAGAAAAAAAATTTCTTGAATATAGGTGCAATAAAAATGTTTGTAATAGAAATGGCATAATTCCAAAAATTCAACAACTTATTGATGAATATACTCAATGGCATCCAACAATAAAAGAAACTATTCATATTGATGAAAAAAAAGCAAGTTCATCAATGCAAACAACTATTTCTTCATATATTATAGTTATATTTTTAATTCTTATTCAATTATTCATTTAACTTTATAAAAAAACAAAATCATTTTTTTTCTTCTTGTCTATCCCTATGTAGATTTAGTTATCAAAATAAAAATTGTATTTACCTAAACAAATCATTGTACAATAATCAATAATTAATTGTTCTAATGTACATGTAGGTATTAAATCATCAAAATCATTAACATCCATTAATGGTATTTGACAAATACGTAAATTAGGCATTTGTGAAAAAATTTTTTTTAATACATTAATTCGTTCTTGATCAAGACCATTAAAATTTGTTGATTGAATTTTAAATGTATTTAATTGTTGAAAAATACAAAAAGTTTCTTTTCTTTCAAATAAATATCGTAAATCAATATAACTTATATGTGATAATATTAATATTTGAAGATTAGTCATTAAATTAAATGAAATACGAAATAAAATATTTATTGTTGATTTATGTGATATTTTTAAAGAACTTATTTGATTTAATGGTGTAATATGAATTAAATTTTCATATTGAGTTTTTGATAAATGTGATAAATCAATTTTTAATAAACGTTGTGATAGAAGAAATGTAAAACGCTTATTTAAATGATTAAAACTTTGTATTAAATCACTAGATGATAAATAATCAAATATATCATGTATAAGTTCATTTGCTAAAAATTCAAAATGATTTTTTATTAAATTCATATCTAGAAGAAATTAAAAAAAAAAACAAATAAGAATTTATTCAAAATCTTCTTTTGAATAGTCAATAGATAAATCAATTAAACGTCTAGGTTGATTATAATCAAGAAAAAGAAATATTAAATAAGCTATTATAGCTACAAAACTCATTACAAAACCACTAACAAATCCACATTGTTCATATCTATAATAAATCAAAATAAAAACTAAAATTTTTTTATGAAAATTTTCAATAAACCTTTGAATACGTTCTTTAAGATTAATTGATTTCTGAGTTATTATATGATTATAAACAATTTCTGTATTCTGGGCAACCCAATACCATGAATACCAATTTTTTATTTTATTATGCCATTCATCAGCATTAGGTATTTGACCAATTTGTATTCTATCAATAGCATTACATAAACCAATAAAAACATCTATTTAATGAAATATAAATGAAATTAACTAATCATATTGAAGAAAACAAACAAACCATTTATATTCGCTTCACATAGGATCATTATATCTGATTGTGTATCATTTGAAGGAAGTACTTCAGGTATACCACCAACTTTAGTTGAAACAACAAGAAGACTTTAATTGAAAATAAACAAATATTAAACAAACTAATTTAGTGCATAAATAATTTCGTGTTTTTCTTTTTTCAATTTCTCCCTCAAGGACGAAGATAATTGAATTATCTGAATTGGAAGTCAACATTTTTCAAGGCCATTAAGCAACTATTTCTACGAGTTTCTTTTTTTTACGGACAACAATCTTTTTTTTTCCTACCCACAAGCAGCAGCTTCAACAATAGCCATACAAAATGCTTCTGTTAACGATGTATTCAAAAATATATGTCCACTATTGAGAAAATCTCGCATTTTATCATGACTAACTGCACCTTCTAAAGGACAAAATATAATTTGTGTGTATTTTATTATTTTTGAAAAATATATATTTATGATAAAAAAAAAACGATTTTACCTAATACAACACGATCTTCAGTACCTTCGCGTTCGATTACTTCACGAATATCAATTTCTTTTGGTCCATTACCAGCTAAAATAATCAAAATATTTATTTTTGAGATTTATTTAATTAAATTTAAAACAACCTATTCGAAATTTAACATTGGGATATTTTCGAAGAATTTCAGGTAAAATACCAATTAAAAGATCAATGCCTTTACGATAAACAAGACGACTGGCAACAATAATTACAACTAAAATTAAAAATAAATAAATAATTTCATTTTCTTTATTTATTTCTTACTTTCATCTGATGATGATGGACGAAGACTTGTATCAGGTATAAATGCTGATGAATCTACAGCATTTGGAATAACAGATACTTTAGATGATTTTAGATTAGCACGTAACATTGTATTTTCTTTACTAAAAATAAAAGTAAATAACAAGGTTGTTATTTTTTTCGACGTTTTCTGAAACATTTGATTTTGTCTCATAGACGTGTTTTTCACCGTCCGGGTTATTAATAAATAAAAAAACAAACTGCTTTTACAACAAGGTTCCGTACATCTAATTGTATCAGAAAGACAAAATTTCTTTTGTCAGTTATTGATTATTCAAGTACGCTAGTTGACATGCGACTAAATTTTAGTTTCCGGAACAGATCATTATGTCTCCATTGGTTGATATAAAGTCATAAACATAATTTTAAGACACTCTTAGTATTTTGCATTTTGTGCCCAAGAGATTTTATTTGAAAACAAAAATTGTAACATACACTAATCGATGCAGAATTTTGTGCTTTACCTATTGAAACGAAAAATTTTCGCCTATCATCAAAGCATAATTTTGAAATTAATTTTATAATTTGGTTTCCTTGATGACAATGAATAATGGATATATAATTTTTGTGCGAAACAATTCTGTTTGAGGGTGGAGTTTTGAGTTTTGCATATAACTTTCGCACTGTTGAGCGTAGAACGCTGCAATAAGACGTATTTTTTAAGAGAAAAATTTCTTTTATGTTTCATGCTTAATCGAACGACTGTTTATGGTCATATGCTTGCTTTTTTTTAGTATCATTTCTGCCTTTTTTCTCTACTGCGTTTTAGATGCGAGTACTAAGAGTATTTTGAACATACCATTTTCTCTCAGTGTCGTAGAGACGTTTGGAGGATTTCATCTTGTCGAGAATTTCATCCTCTAAAACACTGATGTAAATTTACAATTTTTGGCTTAATTTTTTATTAGAAAAAAGTTAAAATCCGAAAATCCATGACTGATCACCAAGGATATTCCTCAAAATTCTACTCTCAGACAGCGTTTTTTTTGCATAATAGTTATACAGTTTTGTTCAGTTTTTCATGCTCTTTCTGGTGCACTAGTTGGTATTGCGATTGATTGCATTACTCATTTTTCAATACTATTATTCATCGTTACCAAGGAAACCAAATTTTAAAAGTAATTTCGAAACTATGGTTCGATGCTAGGGCAAAAATCCTTATTTAAATATGTATAGCCCAAAACTGCATCGATTGGTGTATATTACAGTTTTTTTATAAAGAAAATTACTAGGTCATAAAATGTAAAACACTAAAAATATCTTAAAATTATGTTGTATTGAATTTTTTGCTCTGATTTGTGATTATATCAATCGACGTATTGCTTTTCTTTCGAATTTTGTCATTTCCAAGTTACATGACAGTTGCTGTTAGCAAAGCTTTCATTTAATGACCAAGATGACCTTCAGTCAGGATAAAGCATATATTACTCGATTTTTTATGTCATAGCTAATCGACTCATGTTTGTTGTTTCATATCATTTTCATCGTTAAGTTACAAAATTAGAAAATACTCATAAACACTTATTTCTATTGCTTATTCCTTTCAATATGAGAAGTTTTGATATCTGACTAATGCTCTTCAGAAATGATTCGAGGCTAAAATTCATCTAGAAACATTATTATTGAGATTGATGAAGTTTGTACACTTATGAGAAATCCATGATAATCATTGGTTTCTTTTGTATGTATATATAAAGAAAAACTCGTAATCAGCAAGAAAACCATTGATTATTGTAGGTTTCTGATGGGCTTTTTTTGGATTCATCGTTGTCTGTCTAATCAAAATAGAAGAATATTAACCAACAGAATACTTCATTGATCATAAGCCTTCCCCCAAATAAAAGACTTTCCTATGTTAGAAGGTTACACACAAGAAAAATGACACCATACGTAATTGAAGGTTATGCATTTTTCAAAATCTCTTTTGAAAACCCAATGAGTTTTTAGAAGTATTCGTGTCTTAAAATCTAGTTTTTCCAATGCTTATGTGCTCAAAATGCCTGTTGGAATATCAGAAAAAATTTTCAAGAATCCATGATTTTCGTGAAACATGATGCAAAAAAGCATGTGGAAGGATATAGGGTGGGAATTTTGACTTAAACCCTCCCCTCTCTTTTCCTGCAGATCGTGCCAGACGCTAATTATAAACAATCACGGATCATGACGGTTCTGAATATACGATCATAGACCAAATATCAATCACGTCTCATTCTAATATTTACAGTAATTCTAGTTAGATTTCTTGAGGATTAAATAAAAAGATAACAAATATATATATTCCAAAATAGATAGAATAAATCAGTCTCCTGTGATTAGCAGCGGAAACTGCATCGTGTTTCACATTTTATTCTCACAGGAATTGCGCTAGCATTTTTAGGAAAATGCTAATAAAGAACTAGCGCACGCTAGGGGGTTACCTTTGGAATAGCGATGTGACTTTTTTAAATAGAAGGACATGACCTTTTCTTCTAGAGGCAGTCGGATATATTCATATTTTGCGTAAAAAAAAAACAAATTTTTTCATTCCTTTATGATTGTGATTAAAAAAAAAGAAAAAATAAAGAGTTGTTTCGCTGCTGATAAACCAAAAAAAAAACATTGCGCAGTTTTTTTATTTGATGAAATCATAACTTACGAGGGAGTTTCTGCAGATATATAATTGGCCTTTGTTCTCAAGATGGATTTTGCAACAAAAAGCTATGGTCCTCCTTAGGTCACGTTCAAAATCGACTTTCGAGTTTTGACTTCAAACTTTACACGAATAAAGCTCTAAATGAGATTGGTGCATTTGACAAGTTGTAACTTTTCTAGTATCTCTCCTTCTGAGACATTAAATATATTTGAATTTCTCACATGTGTAAAAGCAAATTTTGTTTATATATGTATAAATTTCCAGAAAGGAGTATTCAGTTGTACAATCAACCAATCTTATGAAGAAGACGATGATCTGAGAGGAATCATAGCTCTTTATTGAAAAATACAGTAAAGCTGGAGCATTTCGAAAACGAAGACTTGAAAAATCAAACCATTGTAAACTTTTCTATT